TCCTTTTATATCCATGGGGAAGTGGAATAAGAATCTTTCCTCTGTAAGCCATGCGTGTTGTAAAAGTCAACTAAAATACTGGGAACAATGGGCTAGTAACCCCTTTTCCTGTAAAAATTACTAAAAAGAATAAGAAGAAAATTGTCAAAGTGGGAAGTCTGAATGTGCGTGGATGTTGTGCGAATGATAAGAAAGAGATGATTGTGGATGTTATGAATGAAAAGAAGCTGGATAACCTGGCTTTAAGTGAAACAAAGCTGAAGGGGGTGGGTGAGTTTCAGTGGAGAGGAATTTATGGGATTAGGTTAGGGGTTTCTAATAGAGTTAGAGCTAAAGAAGGAGTAGCAATAATGTGAAGGATAAGCTATGGCAGGAAAAGAGGGACTAAAAATGTATTAATTCAAGGATTATGTAGAGTAAAATAAAGGTTGGATGTGTGAAATGGGTTATTGTAAGCGTGTATGCACCTGGAGAAGAGAGAAGTGTAGAGGAGGGAGAGAGATTTTGGGAAATGTTGAGTAATTGCATGGGGAGTTTTGAACCAAGTGTGAGAGTATTTGTAGTTGGGGATTTTAATGCTAAAGTGGGAAAAAATGTTGTGGAGAGAATAGGGGTGCCAGGGGTAAATGAAAATGGGGAGGAAATGAAAATGGGAGGAACTTTTAAATGTCAACAAAGAAAGGGAGGTGGTAATTTCATGCACTGGCCAGGGAGGTATATGATCTTTTAGGAGTGAAGAAGAGCAGGATGTGAGTGTGGGGAAGGTGCGTGAGGCATTACGTAGAATGAAAGGGGGTAAAGCAGCTGGAACTGACGGGATCATGAAAGAAATGTTAAAAGCAGGGGGGGGACATAGTGTTGGAGTGGTTGGTAATTTTGTTTAATAAATGTATGAAAGAGGGGAAGGTACCTAGGGATTGGCAGAGAACGTGTATAGTCCCTTTATATAATGGGAAGGGGGACAAAAGAGATTGTAAAAATTTTAGAGAAATAAGTTTACTGAGTATACCAGAAAAAGTGTACGGTAGGGTTATTACTGAAAGAATTAGAGGTAAGACAGAATGTAGAATTGCGGATGAGCAAGAAGGTTTTAGAGTGGGTAGGGGATGTGTAGATCAAGTGTTTACATTGAAGCATATATGTGAGCAGCATTTAGATAAAGGTAGTGAAGTTTTTATTGCATTTATGGATTTAGAAAAGGCATATGATAGTTATAGGTAGTAGGTTGGTAGACAGCAACCACTCAGGGAGGTACTACCGTCCTGCCAAGTGAGTGTAAAACGAAAGCCTGCAATTGTTCTACATGATGGTAGGATTGCTGGTGTCTTTTGGCTGTCTCATAAATATGCAGATTACAGGTATTTCTTGCTACTTCTACTTACACTTAGGTCACACTACACATACATGTACAAGCATATATATACACACACCCCTCTGGGTTTTCTTCTATTTTTTCTAGTTCTTGTTCTTGTTTATTTCCTCTTACCTCCATGGGGAAGTGGAACAGAATTCTTCCTCCGTAAGCCATGCGTGTTGTAAGAGGCGACTAAAATGCCGGGAGCAAGGGGCTAGTAACCCCTTCTCCTGTATATATTACTAAATGTAAAAGGAGAAACTTTCGTTTTTCCTTTTGGGCCACCCTGCCTCGGTGGGATATGGCCGGTGTGTTGAAAGAAAGAAAGATATGATAGAGTGGATAGGGGAGCAATGTGGCGGATGTTGCAAGTATATGGAATATGTGGTAAGTTACTAAATGCTGTAAAGAGTTTGTATGAGGATAGTGAGGCTCAGGTTAGGGTGTGAAGAAGAGAGGGAGACTACTTCCCGGTAAAAGTAGGTCTTAGACAGGGATGTGTGATGTCACCATGGTTGTTTAATATACCAGGATTTGGAGTGTTCTACAAACTGTTTCAGAAATTTCTTAACAGTTCTAGAAACTGGAAAAGTTTACAGTGACATGAATGTCAAATATTGACAATAAAACCCACACTGTTAGGCTATATATGTACCCTGCAAATATATTGTCAGACAAGTGGTGCTCACTGATTCACTCCTCAGTGAAATACAATGAGAAGATAACAGTAGTAGATGCCAGTATATAGAATTACCAATTAGTAATTTTCTGAGTTGCTACGTATGATTACTAACGTAAATATATGGACTCAAGTCCGGGATTCAGGGAAACCGGCAGGCCAGACTTGAGTCCTGGAGATGGGAAGTACAGTGCCTGCACTCTGAAGGAGGGGTGTTAATGTTGCAGTTTAAAAACTGTAGTGTAAAGCACCCTTCTGGCAAGACAGTGATGGAGTGAATGATGGTGAAAGTTTTTCTTTTTCGGGCCACCCTGCCTTGGTGGGAATCGGCCAGTGTGATAATAAAAAAAATAATAAAAAAATAATATTTTTCACTAATTTGAGTTGCCAATTAGTACTTTCCTGAGTTGCTACTTATGAGTAGTAATGCAGATATATGGTGATTCGTAGTTTTTATTTAGGGGTGACCTTTTCTGAAAACTTAGAGGAATTAGGGACTTTTTCATTGCTTTTAAAAAAAATCCATCGATTTATGACACAGGAAATGTTTTATTTGGAGACAAAGGTAAAAAAGTTATAGCCCTATAATGTGTACATTAACCCTTAAACTGTCCAAACGTAGATCTACGTTCACGTGCCCAGCGCTCTGACTATTTTGAAAAAAAAAATAAAAAAATTGTAAATGAAGAGAGCATTATTCTACATAATGTAAGATAAAAAAAAAATTTAGGATCAGTACTTACCAAGATATAAGCCCACAAAGTTGGCATTGGATGCTTACCTGATGGCAACATTGAGTCCTGCAGCTTGCAGAAGTGTTTATCTGTTTGTCTGTCTATTTGTCTGTCTAGCTCTATCTCTTTATCTCTGTCTCTGCTTATCTATCTTTCTATCTGCTTGTATGTCTGTCTTCCTGTATCAAAATTGAAAGGATGTTGCACATGGGTTATTATCGAGGTTTTTGAAATACATGACATCAGTGAATCCCTGGTGTTTGCCACGCTGTTTGCTTTAGCTGGGGCTCAATTGAACTGGTGCTCCCACAAGGTACTAAGTTGTCTCAGATTTTTTTTAATACTGCACTCACTGAGTGTTAAGACCCATTCTATACTGACCAGGCATCTCAGGCCAATCATCCCAAATTTGTAGGCAGAAAAAATAAAACATTGATCTACATTTGGAGCGCTAGCAGTAAGAACATAGATCTATGTTTGGATAGTTAAGGAGTTAAACAAATTCGTTGCTAAGTGAGGAGCATACTATAAGGGTAGTTGGTTTGCGTCAACCATTTTGATATTGTTTTAATGTCACTTTTGCACAATTTATAACATTTCTGGTATATTTTTAAATGTTTATACAGTAGTGTACTGTATACTGAAATAAACAGAATAGAGGAAATCAGCTCTGATATACATTATTTAGGTATAAATACTGGTCAGAGAGCCTATCATAAGTTCGAGGCATCGATAAACGAGCACGTCACGAAGCGAGGAGAGACTGTACTGTATTCATTTAAAAACTATTTTATTTTTTATTTGGTTAACCTTTTTACTGTCAACACCCTAAATTGAAAACCCCTACTCTCTTATCATTTTGAAAAAAAAAATATCTTCTACAATAGAGAATTTTTTTTCTAAAGGTAATGACACCAAAAGTGCAAAATTTTCTATAAAACTTAGGGAATTACACAGATGCAAAATTCTTGGTTAGGAACACTTTACACATCAGAGATGTGCACTTTGAGGCACATTTTGGGCTAATTTCAGTACTCAAACAAACCCAATTTCTGGCTATTTCACTAGTATGCCTTCTGTACTATTGATTGAGTGCAGGAAACTGCACTGGTAATTTGGCCAATTTTACACTATTTTCAACAAATTCCAATTGAAAAACAGAACCTGAAACAAGCATTGTAGGCATTCCAGCCATTAACCCTTAAACTGTCCAAACATAGATCGTCCACGTGCGGGGGGCTCCGAACGTAGGTCTACGTATTTTTTTACATGCTTTCAAATGGGGAAAATCAAGGTCGGAGCGCTACGCACGTGAATGTAGATCTACGTTTGGACAGTTTAAGGGTTAAATAAATCTTCCTTCTGTTCATTAATGATGTCCCTAGGCCTCTTCTGTATAACTCTTGCCCTTTATTTTGAATACACCATCACACAAAAAAATATGTATTTCCTCATTTCTTGGTTAATAAGTCATGACCAAGAATGCTTGGTGGTTTAGGACATCCCGATAATTGAAGCAGACCCAGAAAACAGACCAAACGGGATAGGGGGAACTCTACGCTTCCTCAGAAATATTGCAAGAAATTTATTATTTCCACCATTGTAAGGCCTACTTCAGACCTGGAACCAGTGTCTTCAGTCTATCAATTGGCTCCAAGAAATAGCAAATAAAACCATAAAAAACATCATAGAAAATGCCCCAAAGTTGATACTTTAAAGCAAACACAAAGTCAGAGGTTGGCTCTTCCCATTATACATTGTGTGGGGCAGGATTTAATTTTTTTGTGCTGTGCATACCCACCGTACAGACTCATTCTTTCATGTCTAGGCCAAAATTTGCCACTCATAGCATATTTGATGGTCCTATGATTTATGCATAGATCAACTTCAGCACCAGTGGCCTCAATCACAGAGACAGTATGTATTATTATAATCAAAACCAGGCGCTAAACCTACCAGGGTCATAGATACAGTAAGAGAGTTAATAATCTTTTCTGCAGTAGAGCTTAATCTGTTTCTTCATTAAATAAAGTTTTCCTAGATGTAGTCTTGTAAGAGTATCTCTCCCCTTTCATACTTTTTATGTTATACTGACACCACCTTCACCACATACTCCTTCATACAGTCTTTCTGTTACTTGCCTCATTTGTTTTACTTTCTTCCTTTTATTGTGTGAATTTGTATCCCTACTTCACTAATATCTCCATTTAAATATAATGCATTATATTTTCAGTTACCAGTGCCTTAACCAGGAATGTTCCATCATGTCCAGCCTCACTAACTTTACTGCGCCAGAGTTGTTGACGGGTAATAACAAGATTACTTGTGAAAATTGTACGAAGGTACACAATCAGCTACATCCAGGTATGTAACCACTCTTTCCCTGAGCACCAGTGACTATGCAGCATTGTTTGCCAATTCTCATTGCAATATAAACTTTAGTATATACCATAATGCAATAACTTGAGCCCTCTTCATGTAATTGACAGACCTGTTCTTTTATTGTATTTTGTATATCTTGCCATCCATTGAATATGATCAAGTATGATTGATTAAATGAGTGTGCATTTTTTTTTTTTTTTTTTTTTTTTTTTTTTTAACAAGTCGGCCGTCTCCCACTGAGGCAAGGTGACCCAAAAAGAAAGAAAATCCCCAAAAAGAAAATACTTTCATCATCATTCAACACTTTTTACCTCACTCACACATGATCACTGTTTTTGCAGAGGTGCCCAGGATACAACAGCTTAGAAGCATATACATATAAAGATACGCAACATATCCCTCCAAATCGCCAATATCCCGAACCCCTCCTTTAGAGTGCAGGCATTGTACTTCCCATTTCCAGGACTCAAGTCCGGCTATATAAAAATAACCGGTTTCCCTGAATCCCTTAACTAAATATTACTCTGCTCTCACTCCAACAGCTCGTCAGGTCCCAAATACCATTCGTTTCCATTCACTCCTATTGAACACGCTCATGCACGCTTGCTGGAAGTTTTTTCCCCCTCAACCAGTTTTAGCCTAAAAGGTACTATATTTTGTGCACATTGAACCAAAACTTATCTTTCCAACTTGCCCCTTTAGTTTTGCCATTATAGGATGCCTCACTGAAGTCCTCCCACCTCAAGCTGACAGATTTCATCCAGCAAAACATCTTGCCTGCTACTGTTTTACAGAAAAATTTAACTTTGAATGCCAAAAAATGTACTGTAAAAATTATATAACCTTACCTTTACCCCTTAAACGGTCCAAACGTATACAGTGGACCCCCGCATAGCGACCTTAATCCGTGCAAGAGGGCTGGCTGTTATGCGAAATGTTCGGTATGTGAATGAATTTTCCCCATAAGAAATAATGGAAATAAAATTAATCCGTGCAAGACACCCAAAAGTATGAAAAAAAATTTTTTTTACCACATGAAATGTTAATTTTAGTACACACAAACTGAAAAAGGCATGCACAATTACATGACACTTACTTTTATTGAAGATCTGGTGATGATTGATGGGATGGGAGGAGGGGAGAGAGAGTGTTAGTGTTTAGAAGGGGAATCCCCTTCCATTAAGACTTGAGGTGTCGAGTCCTTTTCTGGGGTTACTTCCCTTCTTCTTTTAATGCCACTAGGACCAGCTTCAGAGTCACTGGACTTCTTTCGCACAACATCTCTGTCCATAGTGGCCTGTACCTCTCGTTCCTTTATGATTTGTCTAAAGTGGTTCACAACATTGTCATTGTAACAGTCACCAGCACGGCTTGCAATAGCTGTGTGAGGGTGATTTTCATCAAAAAAGGTTTGCACTTCAAGCCATTTTGCACACATTTCCTTAATCTTTGAAGTAGGCAATTCCTTCAATTTCTCTCTCCCTCCTTGAACCAGTTTCCCCAGGTCTGGCCTCTTGCTCTTGAAGTTGATCTATCAGCTCATCAGTGGTTAGTTCTTCACTGTCCTCCTCCACCAACTCTTCCACATCCTCCCCACTAACCTCCAACCCCAAGGACTTCCCCAATGCCACAATGGATTCCTCAACTGGTATCTCCTCTCAGGGTTAGCCTCAAACCCTTCAAAATCCCTTTTGTCTACACATTCTGGCCACAGTTTCTTCCCCAAGCAGAGTTCAAGGTCTTCTTAGTCACCCTCCCAAGCCTTACCTATAAGGTTTATACAATTGAGGATATTAAAGTGATCCCCTCCAAAACTCTCTTAGAGTCAGTTGAGTTTCTGAGGTCACTACAAAGCACCTTTCAAACAGAGCTTTTTGTACAGTTTTTTGAAGTTTGCAATAACCTGCTGGTCCAGGGGCTGCAGGAGAGGAGTGGTATTAGGAGGCAAAAACTTCCCCTTTAAAATGAAGCTCATGTCCCCATAAAGTCGCTCTGCCACGTCTGTAGGATGACCAGGGCATTGTCTAACACCAGGGGGCACTTAAGTTCTATTTTCTTTTCAGTTAGGTAATCTTTGACATTGGGGGCAAATGCATGGTGTAACCAGTTATAAAAAAAGTCCCTAGTGACCCATGCCTTACTGTTTGATCTCCACAGCACACACAAATTATCCTTGAGGACATTCTTTTGCCTGAACGCTCTGGGAGTTTCAGAGTGATACACTAATAAAGGCTTAACTTTGCAATCACCACTAGCATTGGCACACAAACAACAAAGTAAGCCTGTCTTTCATAGGCTTATGTCCTGGGAGTGCCTTTTCCTCCTGAGTAATGTAGGTCCTGCTTGGCATTTTCTTCCAGAACAGGCCTGTTTCATCACAATTAAACACTTGTTCAGGTTTCAGTCCTTCAGTTTCTATGTACTCCTTGAATTCCTGCACATATTTTTCAGCCGCTTTGTGGTCCGAACTGGCAGCCTCACCATGCCGTATCACACTATGTATGCCACTAACGCTTCTTAAATCTCTCAAACCAACCTTTGCTGGCCTTAAATTCACTCACATCATCACTAGTTGCAGGCCTTTTTTTATTAAATCCTCATGCAACTTCCTAGCCTTTTCGCTTATGATGCGCTTGAAGACGTTTCTCCTGCTAGCTGTTTTTCATTTATCCACACCAATAAGATCTCTCAACATCTTCCAACACATATGGATCTTTGTTTTCGAAAACACAGTTTAAACCTTTGGCAAGAACAGCTTCCTTGATTGCCTTTCTGTTGCCCACATAGTAGAGATGTTGCAATGGTTTCTGTACAACCTGACCAGGTCGGTGATACGCACCTCCACTTTCATACTTATCAATGATCACTTTCTTCATCTCTATTGTAATTCTAACCCTTATTGATTGCTGTAGGGTAGGAACTAGAGCTTTCTTGTGGCCCATGGTCCACTTATATTTCCCAGAAACAGCACCGAAAACACTAGTAATAAATACTAAGATATTCCGATTGTATGCATGAATGTTACCGCAGAGGCTGGCTGGTAAACATGCCCACCTGCGGAACATATGTAGTGCTGGCTCAGGCCCGCACTTGGACGGTCTCTGTACGAAGGGCTCTGATCGTGTTTTTTGGCGGTATGCGGGTCAAAATTTTAGCGTAATCAAAGCTTCCATAGCGGATTGTCCCGTATATGCAAGCGTCCGGTATGCGGGGGTCCACTGTATATACTTTCTCTCTACCGCATAGCGCCCCAAACGTATATATACGTTTTATTTTCCTGCTTCAAAATTGCAACGTTTGGTCCTGAGATGCCTTGTCAGCCATAGAATGAGGTCTGACACTCAGGTTTGCAGTTTTAAAAAATCTGGACCACTTAGTACCTTGTTCAAGTTCCACTAGAAGAAAATAGTGCGGCCAAACACCAAGTTGATTCCCACTGAAAAATGTAATGTCATATTAACACTCCTCTTTAAGAGTGAAAGAGCTGTTAACTTAACCCCAAGTTTAAGTCTGCATCTCTGTTTTTCCTCCTATCTCTGTCTGTCTACCTGTCTCCTGTCTCCTCTGGTCCACAAACTGTGTCTGTCTCGGTCTATCTGTCTCAGGTCTAACTTTCTGTCTATCTCTGTCTCACAGTACACATAAATACTAGTATACATAGTGTAAATTACTCTAGGATAACCCAAAAAAATCCGACAAAGAGCTATTAATCTGCTTTAGAGTGAGTATAAACGTGAAACGATGCAGTTCTTGTGGCTCTCATCTGAGACAGATGAGATAGATTAAGATAGACAGGTTAGCTTGACCGACAGACAAATAGACAGACAGACTTGACCGACAGACAAATAGACAGACAGACATGTTTATGTACCAGCGAAAACAAAGTGAGGGGATGCTCATCAAATATCACCTTTAATCTTTTCTTATCAGCTGCACCCTTCCCCCACCCTAAGTGTATCTCAATACAAACATCATCGCTTAACATTCGTATCTATCTTATCATTACACTGTCCAGAGGTGGACTTTGTTTTTCATGCTTCAAGGGAACTTATTATTACCTATTATTATTATTACGTATCACCACCACCACCGTCGTCCTCGTCGTCGTCCTCCTCCTCCTCCCTCCTCCTCCTCCTCCTCCTCCTCCCTCCCTCCCTCCTCCTCCTCCCCTCCCCCTCCTCCTCCTCCCTCCCCCCTCCTCCCCCCCCCTCCTCCTCCCTCCTCCTCCCCCCCTCCTCCCCCTCCTCCTCCTCCCTCCTCCTCCCCCTCCTCCTCCCCCTCCTCTCCCTCCTCCTCCTCCTCCCCCCCTCCTCCTCCTCCTCCTCCTCCTCCCTCCTCCTCCTCCCTCCTCCTCCTCCTCCCTCCTCCTCCCTCCTCCTCCTCCCTCCCTCCTCCCCCCTCCCCCTCCTCCTCCCTCCCTCCCTCCCTCCTCTTCCTCCTCCCCCCTCCTCCTCCTCCCTCCTCCTCCTCCTCCCCCCCCCTTCTCCTCCTTCTCCTCCTCCTCCTCCTCCTTCTCCTGCCTCCTCCTCCCTCTTCTCCTCCCTCCTCCTCCTCCTCCCTCCTCCTCCCCCCTCTCCCTCCTCCTCCTCCTCCCCCCTCCTCCTCCCCTCCCCTCTCCTCCCCCTCCCCTCCTCCTCCTCCTCCTCCTCCTCCTCCTCCCTTCTCCCTTTCCTCCTCCCCCCTTCTCCTGCCTCCCTCCCTCCTCCTCCTCCCTCCTCCTCCTCCCCCTCCCTCCCCCTCCTCCTCCCTCCTCCTCCCCCCCTCCTCCTCCCCCCTCCTCCTCCTCCTCCCTCCTCCTCCCCCCCTCCTCCTTCTTCTCCTCCTTCCTCCTCCTCCTCCTCCCTCCTCCTCTGCCTCCTCCTCCTCCTCCCTCCTCCTCCCTCTCCTCCCTCCTCCTCCTCCTCCCCCCTCCTCCCTCCCTCCTCCCCCCTCCTCCTTCCCTCCCTCCTCCTCCCCCCTCCTCTTCCTCCCTCCTCCCTCCT